TTCCTGTTGCGGTCCTGATAGGGGACACCCAAATATATCATGAAATATTAAAATTCTTCTCACCAGCCCTCCCTTTCAGTTACATGAGTAAACTTCTGAGTATTATTGCTTTCGAGTTTGGGGTATTGCTATAGACAGTGGAACCCCCTATTAATGTTTTCTTTATTTAACATTCAGTTTCAATGATCCTGAAGCAAGAGCCTTAGTGTTAATATTCTCCTCAGTTTCATGTCCAAATCCACTGATCCCAGAAGAAAAACCACAAGTGTAGATTTCATTGCGTCATGTTACTAACAAGAAAACTAAAGGAAGCAGTGACAAAGTTCATGTTTATGAGGTACTCATTAGACAAAACTGTCATATGACAGCAAGGTATGCACCTTAAGGGAGACTACTGGGAGACGGTCCCTGAGACAAACAGCACGTTACACCCTATGCAGTGTGAAGAAGAAACAAGGCATTGAGAGAATTATGAATTTCAGTTGTAGTATAGTTGTAAAGAACAAGCTGGATGTACCTCATGGAGGGAAGACCTCAGTTGGGCTTAAAAAGGAGCTGTCAAATGTAAGACCAAGAGAACTTAAGGCTCACACTTCCATTCCACATTCAAATATAGCAAGAAATGTAAATCAGTATGTACGTGCTGTTTAGCTGTCTGTTTCTTAGCATAATATCTTCTAGAACAAATTCACCCTGTTTTAAACCTGTCACATTAAAATACGAATTCCACTTTCATCACATGTGTAATTTATAAGATACGCACAGATTTCCATATTTCAAAACCCATAGGCATGCTTGTGGTCTATCTTCATATTAAATTCCACATTGGTTATTGCTGTCAGGTATGAAGTAAAACATAGAATTCTTATGGATACTGTTTTTTATTCTACAAAAATACGGTTTACTTGAAAGTCACTGACGGCAGTGAATATTAAGATTGTGGTTTTCTGAGGTGTGATAGGTAATTCCCAGCATTTTTATATATCTGATGTCTCCATCTTTGTGGTAGAAGTTTGCGTAGTTTTCAAAGCTGTTACCGTGAAGGCACTGAAAACCCCAAGACTGCCTTCTGGACTTTGTATAGTGGTTATTCTGCCATGAAACTGGACTCAAGCCTGTTCAGACATTGTTAACTGTGAAATATAGGAATGAGTGTGTTACACATTTGAGTGCCCCTTGCACCCCTACTTTATCTTGTGCTCTTCGTGAAACTAGTGCTTTTTTGTTGAAACTGGTTTTGTTTTGAGACTGGTGAGAATGGCACTGCTTTATGTTGTGCTCTTCATGAAACTAGTGCTTTTTT